TTCTAAAGTGGTAGGTTCTCAACAGAAGCAAAATAGGTTTATAATCGTAGCTTCCTACATAAAGGACTTTCCTTGTGTTAATCTTAGTGCAAGTATTTATTATTCTTGTCTCAGAGAGAACTGCCTTAAGCAGAGATATGGCAAAATATTTCCAGGGCAATAGTAATCCTTGATGTTCAAGGGTACACCAAGAAGAGAAAGCTACAATGTGGTTTAAAGGGGAAAGGTGTTGGTTTCAGTCAGGAAATGGGTAGGGATTGTTTCTGGGAAGCAACACCTTGCTCTAGGGTAATTCTTGTTTTGTTACTTTCTTGTCAAAGAAAATTTTGACATCTCTATACTTGTTTATTGTTTTCTCAGTTTGACTGTACAAACACCCTCAATGACCAGTTCCTAGAGAAGGTGACAGTACAGATGGAGCCTTCGGATGCCTATGATGTGCTCTGCTGCATCCCTGCTCCCAGCCTCACCTATAACCAGCCAGGGATATGTTACACTCTTGTTCGTCTACCTGATGATGACCCTACTGCAGGTACAGCCTCCAGAAGTATCTGACAACAAAGAGTGTCGTCATTTGAGCTCTTAGGAGATGTCTAGAAAATGTTCAGGATTCAACCTGGTACTTGTTCAGGGTCATTCTTTTAGATCCCAGTGGCACAGATCTTTTCAATCTGAGGTGATTGAACTCAGTGCTGGGCTGCTGCTGGTATGGTATCTTAGAGAAGCAAAATAGGATTTAGTCAAGTCACAGCTTGGGCCTTGTGACCATCACTAGTTTATTTATATGAGTTTATTTGACATAACTTGCTAAGGAGTATGTCTTCCATCCCTCTAACTATAGTCAGAAAGTCTAAAACTTTAATACCATTATTCCCAAGACATTGGCTGAAACTTTAAGTGTAAAAGATAATAGGAAGGGGGTAGCTAGATGGCATAGAGGATAGAGTACTGGCCCTGGATTCAGGAAGACCTGATTTCAGATCTGGCCTCAGACACTTGACATTTACTGTGTGACCCTGGGCAAGTCACTTCACCCCATTGCCTCACCAAAAAAAAAAAAAATAGATAATAGGAAGTCCTAACTTTAAATTGCATTGTGTGACCTAAAAGGCAGGTGGAAATACTTCATTGTCCATGTATTCCTCAGAAATCATCTTCCTGAATTTGCTACTTCCTCTCTATTCCTACCCTGCCTGTGTCAACCAATATGTCCCCCTCAGGGCTCCTGTAAATTAATGTCAGTTACACCTTTAGTCATTTTTGTATTAAGCTTTCTCTCGAGCCATATCTTAAGCCAACTTCTGGATCTTTCTAAAGGAGGCGCTCTTAATCAGAGGTCTGTGAGCTTGCTTTTTTATATTTTGCTAACTGTATTTCAGTATAATTGGTTTCCTTTGTCATCCTGTATATTTGATGAAGGGATCCATGACACAAAAAAGGTGTAAGTTTCTTCTTCCAGCTAGCTTCTGAAATCTCCCTTTTTTAAGGATTATTCCTGTTCACCCAGCAGAGGGTGAATTATTCCAAGCTCTGTGCATCTAGACATGTTATTCCATTCTGTTCCTTTCCTTGAAAAGCCAACCATAGTTTGTGTGTTATAAAAACACTATTTAACTTTTTTTTTTTAGGCAATTTTTTAGGCAAGTGTGACTTGCCCAGGGTCACACAGCTAGTAAGTGTCAAGTGTTTGGTCAGAGGTCGGATTTGAACTCAGGTCCTTCTGACTTCAGGGCCGGTGCTCGATCCACTGCGCCACCTAGCTGCCCCTACTTGTTTACTTCTTAATGTAGACTTGAATCTTTAGTGGTAAATTAATATTTTTATTCTTTTGTCGTGTGAGTTACATTTTTGGCCAGCCTGCAGACCACATCTTGAGAACCTCCATCCAAGATGAGAGACTGCATCTAACCTGCTTTTTGCAGCGTAGCTTAGTGCATTATAAGTTATTGGTAGCAAGACCTTGATACTGTTACCCCTTGATGCAGACAAGCTTGCTTTTCTTCTCTTTCACCCCTAGTTGCTTGCACCTTTAGCTGCACGATGAAGTTTACAGTTCGGGACTGTGACCCTAATACTGGTATTCCAGATGAGGATGGATATGATGATGAGTATGTGGTGAGTTTCACTTGAACATATGGTATTTTGCCTTTCATGGTACCACGTGGCTTTTATTTTTGTTAAGAATACCTGATGATGACATTGTGCAGGTATGTCCAGCTTGCACTGTAGCTGAGGGAGATAGTCCACATCTTAATATATTGCACAGTAAATGTGGTTCACTGACATTGCTACCCCAAAAGTTAGTATGACCCTATGCTACACTGAGAGATGTGATGCCCAGAACAAGGGAGGTGATAGTCCTAATGTACTGTGTCCTGACTTCATCTGGAGTACTTCGTTCATTTCATGGTACCACATGGTGGAAGAGGTGCTGACAAACTGGAGAACCATCAAAGGAGAGCAACCAGGATGGTAAAAAAACAAAACAAAACTGGAAACCATCACTCCATCCTAGGCTCAGTGAGGAACCGGGGATGTTTTAGCATGGAAAAGACTTGAAAAGGGAAGGGACGTGATAGCTGTCTCTAGATTGGAAGGCTGTTACATGGACGTTAATTTATCAGAGGAAGTGGACAGGAATCATACAGGAGGACAGGGCATGAATGAACTGCAGTCTTTATCAGTAGAAAGACTACACATGTAGATGAGGTCACAGATGCATGCAAGTAAATCATGTGGGTATTAGATTTGTTCTTCTCTGCCCAGTGGGCAGAATGAGAATGAAGGAGCACTGGGAAGGAGTGGGGGATAAGGTGCAGGGAGGCAGATCTGGGTTTAGTGTTAAGATAAACTTCCTTACAATTAGAGCCATCCAAAAGTGGAATGGGCTGCCATAGGAGGTAGTGGCTTCCCCTCACTGGAGGGCTTCAGGTCCAGGCTGGATGCTTCTTTGCCTTCTCAAATCTTCTCCCCTAAATTATTAGTGCTTATTTCTGTATTTTCTTTGTAATGTACTTGTGGCCATGAAATAGAAAACTGTTTTTGTCTAGTGCCTTACACACTACATGCTTAATAAATGTTGGAGAACAGATTTCCTGTTGAAGTGTGAGTTGAAGTAGACAGCTTCTTAGGTTCCTTCCAACTCTAAGATTCTGAGATACTCTGCTGGGAGTTGAGCTTTTCTTTGCCAGCATCCATAGATGACTCTGTTACTGTACAGCAGAATTGCTATCAATAAGTATTAATTGCCTGGTAAATAGAGAATTTGGAGTGGAATGGATTAACATCTATTAACCAGTAGACTTAGTTTCCCTTTCTGCTAGAAAAGTTTTGTGCACTCACATCAGTCTTCTTTGACCATCAGCTGGAAGATCTTGAGGTGTCTATGTCTGACCACATCCAGAAGGTGCTCAAGCCCAACTTTGCTGTAGCCTGGGAGGAGGTTGGAGACATCTTTGAAAAGGAAGAGACCTTTGCCCTCAGCACAACCAAAACCCTTGAAGGTGAGACTAGCCAGTCTCTTTAGTGAGTTCAGCCTATATTGAATCCAAGTGACATAGTCCCCGTGGATTTGAAAAGTACTGTTAGTCAGTGTGTAGCCTATTTAGTGGGCCATGCTACTTTTCTCTCCGTACAGTTTTGTCAACCCTAATTTCTTCACCTCTATTTTCAGTATATCCCCAATGGAGCAGACTTCATGAAGATGTCTAAATATAACATCTCTAATGCTCTACCTTATATCTTCCAAACACAGAAGCTGTCAACAATATCGTCTCATTTCTGGGCATGCAGCCATGTGAGAGGTCAGACAAAGTACCTGAAAACAAAAATTCCCACACACTGTATTTGTCAGGTAAGAACTCTCATTCCTTTTCTACCTATTGATTCTTACTTATCTATAAAATTTAAAACCCAACTCAAATGCCATCTTCTCTGTGAAGCTTCATATGTACTTTTCCCCAGAAAGCAATGATTTTCCCCCCTCAGACCTCAAATAGTATTGTTTGCACTTCTCACGCATTTTTGTATTTTATTATACAGCTTTGTATGTCATCCCTCTGACTAGATTAAGTTTCATGAGTGTCATCTCAATTTTGTGTTAACTAGCATGCAGTAGGTTCTTAAATATGTTTGTTGAATTGAAAGAGAGGTCTCTGTTAATGGGAAAGACTTTGAGTGGGCCCACCCACTTCATTACATGAATCAAAATTTGAAGCCTAATCAACTGGACTTGAATTCATTTTGAGTTATTTGAATAAACTGACCCTGTTCCCTTAGGTCATCTTTGACCTAATTATTTTCTGAAATCGGCAAGTCCACCTAAATGTTATTTTGTCAAAGAAATTTGCATTGGCTTCACTCTAACAACCCTGGCTATTTTCTCCCCCTATTTTGCTCCCATTGGGCAAGTATTGAGTGCCTGACAGAAGTGCCACTTCTGTGGGCATATCAACTGATCACAGAATTTAGAGCTAAAAGGGACCTTAAAATTTATTTGGACCCCTTGCCTAAAAAAATAAAGTAATTGTAAATGTAAAGATATGTTTTGTCTTTATATAGAAAAGGTTGGTTTGTTCTGACTGCATCATGTGGTTTTCTTGATTTTTCTTACCCAGGTGTATACAGAGGTGGCTATGACTTACTGGTGAGGTCTAGATTGGCCTTAGGAGATGGAGTGACCATGCAGGTGACTGTGAGAAGCAAAGACGAAACCCCTGTTGATGTCATCTTAGCTTCAGTTGGATAAATTTTTACCTAAGCTTTGTAATGCACCCTCCAGTCAGTTGGCTTTTTTCATGGTTTTGGAAAAGTAAAAGTGTCTAGCCAGATCTACCAAGCAAATGTCTGTCCTTATGCACGTTGTTTTTACTCCAATTGCTCAGCTTCTTTACATTCCTTTCTCTAACTTATTGTGTCCAAAAGCATCTGGTGGAGTTGAGAACTTGTGTATCCATAGTAGTGGAGGCTGTTACAGGGGAGGGGAGGAATCCAGAGTCCGCTTTTGTGAAAATTCATTTTTATTAATAGAAAATAAACAATTATTCCAGTTTCAGGTTTTGAAATTTGTTATACTTGAAGTTGCTAATAAAAAAGACTTTAAAATAATGAATGTTCCTGCTTCACTGAGACACTGCAGCTGTAGCTAACAAAACATAGGATTCAGCACCATTTGCTTAAAGGCCTTTCAGAACTTTCATTTACAAACCCTTTCTGTAAAACACAGTAAAAACTAAAAGAGAAGGCCACTTGAGCAAGCTGAGCAACCTTCATAAAAGGACACACATTCCACCTTTTGGGATAGCCATCTAAACACGGAGGTGTAAACAGACTGCTGTTAGCTCAGAGTATCTTACCTACATATCAGCCAATCGTAAGTAGTGCTCTCGACAGACTATTGATCCTTCATGCCTCAAAATTTTAAGTAACATTGAAAACATTTTGGATGTAATTTGACTTGTACAAAAATTAATCATATTTAGATCATTAAATTCACTACTCAGCCACAGAACATACCTGCTGGTTTAGCGTCTTTATGAAAAAATACATTTGTAGGTGAAACATAACTCAGTCTTACAGTAAGATGCACTTAATACTGTATTATTTCAGCTACAAATTACACTTCAACAAGGTGTTATAAGAAATGGTGAAAGAAATCCAAGTCATGACCAAAACAGAATCTGGCTTATCGTGATGCTACATGTTGGTTTCAAAACATGCGAGCATTTATATGCCTTTAAAGACATTTTAAGAGAAGTTGAGAGGATTTCCAAATCATTCCACTTTCCATATTGCATGATTATATGGTTGGGATTGAACTAAAAAGTGGCATCTTCAAATTCCAAGAGTCCATAACTTCGAAACCTTTTGCGAAAAAAAATGTCGCTGGCTTCCTGCTTGAGAGATTTGGGATGGTTGATGAGGATTTCTAATACATGAAGGTATGACCAAGTCCATACATTTGATCAACTCTCAGCCGGAAAACTACTTCAGGAAGAGGATGGAACATTCAAGACAAAACCCATTGAACCTCATGGTGTTATTTGGAAGTACTATTTAGTGATATGAAATATGATTCTATGACCTCTTTGAGGCATCAGTTCTTCATTTGAAACCATGATTAAAAAGGAAACGTTAAGGAAAACAAGTCTCCGCCCCTCAGAAAGAGTTGATGAAATTCAAATATGCATTCAGAAAACCCATAGGATCCTCTAGCTGTGGGTAGTGGCTAATGTGATCATCCAGAATCGACACTGTGGACTGGGGTAATGTTTTCCTATTGGAAGAGAACGTGGAGGTGAAGTGTTTAAGCTGAACTTGGATGGTCAACATCCAAGCAACAGCTTAAAAAGAATTTAACCTGCAACAGATTTCTAGGTAGGAATAAAACCTATTTCTTCAAAGCAGGATAACTCTGAGCTAGGAATGAGGTAAGACATGTTACCTTTCTGGGTTGTACCAGCAGTAACAGGTGAAAGAATTCTTACTTGTTTTGATCTGATCACAAATGTACTGTTTCTTACAAGTGGACTAACCCAAATCACAAGACAGTCCCACCCACTGCAGATGACTGGAGAGGGAGAACATTAATCAGAGGAAAACTATCTTCAGTTTCTCCTTGCAGCCTGATAGGCTCAAGTTCCTAGCATGTTTCGCTCTGACTACAAATAAACTCTACCTGCCAGCATTCCACAGCTAACCCACTAGTAGTTTTTCTAACTAAGCAAGAAGTGTTTATGGACATAGGCAATATCAGCCAAGGGAATTCTATTCTATTTTTCCCGAGCACTGTTGGATTCAACATAGGAAGAAGATTATCTCTATTCAAAGCCCTAACTTCACCTCTCTTTCATGAACAACCAGGGAGCCCAGAACATGTCTGATGGAACATCAGCTTTGTTCTCTTTGCACCTGTGCCTAGCTGGCACGCACCTATCCCCAAGAGTGACTCACCTATACAGATTCATAAATTCTGGATGAGGGTTCACTGGATCTGATGGCCCATAGATGAAATGCACTGAAAAAGGACAGGCAAAGAGTTAATGGCAAAGGCATTCTCTCTCAACCCTCCATCCCAAACCCAAACCAGAAGACAGTTTTCTCCTAGTACAGTCTGTCATCTTGGCCTAATCTTCCTGCCCTCCAAGAAAGATAGGTAATTCAATTTCTTTAATTAAATAGGTCACAGGAAGCTTCTGGCAATGAGGCAGCTAACCCACATGGCTCATTCATAATCTTTCTTCCCTCCAGTGATCTATTCTGTATCTTTAGACAATGTATATCCTCCTCTCTGTAGACCTCTGGTTCTTTTAAAAAATCCAACATTAATATTATACTTTAAACATCTTGCTATATCACTCAAATAGTTGGATTTGACCTTTGATATGTAAATCACATATTTGTTGAATGCCTACTATGTGCTAAATATGGCAGGAATAGGGAGGCTGGGTTTTTTTTTTTTTATATATGTAACATATATGGTTGAAGAGACTAATTCTTACTCCAACCAAGTCTGCATACTTTGGTTCCCACTTACAGTAACTGCCTATAGTAGTATCCTAACGAGTGAATAAATAAAAAAGCATTTATTAAGCAATTATTTGTGCCAAGCACTGTGCCAAACACTGGGAATACAAATAGAAAACTGAGATTGTCCCTGTTCTTAAGGAGTTGGTGCTCAAATCAGGGGAGCCATATGAGGGTTCAGTGACAAGGGGATAGCAAAGCCTAGGCATACTCTAATAACCCTAATTATCAGTGATCCACAGTGCCACATCTCTGGAATGATGCACAACCAGAGAGACCAGTCCACTTGTTGGTTTCCTAATTCCCATCCATAACAGTACTTTGCTGTTGTAATATCTTTTTGATTCAATTTACAATACAATATATTTGTACTGTTGATGGGGAGGGAACGCCTGGTATTTTTACTCTAAGGACCTGTTTGATTTCTCCATAGGTAGGATGCTCCCTTAAGATCTAAAGTCTAACAAAGAGACAATGAGGGAACACTTACGGGGAACAGCCACGGAGGTGAGAGCTCCCACCCAGCGGTCTCGATGCTTCTTTCTCTGGTTGATGTACTGTAAGATACTTTAAGGACAGATTAGTGAGAGCTGAGCTGTGAGCCAAGGAAAGCCATACTCTGGTGAGACCACAAGGCCTGATATCAGCCAAAGGCTCCCTTTATCAAGTTATAGGGAAAGTTGCCATTTGCCCACCTGCTACATCCATTCCCGTTAAATTCCAGAATCAAACAGTCACATAGTGATGTCAGAATTCAATGGCACTGGGAGGATATCGAGGCAATAATGTGAGGCAAGGATCTGAATGAACTCAACATTATAAATATGAAGAGTGACTGTAATTCATCAGAGATGCAATGAAAAGCTGACCGTCTCATTCCACTCTCTTAGGAAAAAGATCCTCCCCATCTTTTTCAGTTAGGTGAGTAGAGGCACACAGTGGAAGATCATCTATGTCCATGATCATTTAGAGTCACAGACTTTGAGGGCAGCTAGGTACTATTTGAAGGAAACTACTGGATGATCGTTATGGTCCCAGCCACCCCTAAAATTCTTACTCCATTTGATTATGAGTATAACCTCCTCAACTGATATCTAGAAGAGAGGGAAAAGAAACCTTTCCAGAATTATCAGAAGAGACAGTCACATCTTGGACTAGAACTCACAAGCTCTCATGTCGAGCATGGATCCCTTTTCCTCTCAACTCCAAGTTGGCACATATGTGAACTTGGATCGTCACTTCTTAGGATAAATACTTTCTCTTTCCCACTAAGAAAAAACTTTTACTGTCTCATGTATTAAAAAAAAAAACTTACAGATCCATATGGAAAATAACCCGTAACTTGTTATTTCCAACATAGATATCAATTAGAAGTTGGAGTCAGCAAGACAAGGTGGAAGCTACATTGACCTCACTGGCAGAAAAGGAAGCCTTATCTTTGGGATTTCCAGATAATTAGCACCCCCTCTGAAAACTGCCAAACTCTCATTTCTATCTAGACACTGGGGGCCTCTGTACCTTGTTATGTGCCAACATCCCTTGCCCCAGCCTCTGTTGTTGCTGAAGAAGTTACAATATGATGAACACTTTAGCAGAGGCAGCAAGCTCTTCTCAAGCACATAAAACACCTTTAAATGGTTAACATCAGCAACGGCACAGAAAAGAAAAAGGCTTCACTAAAGGCTAGGTGGCAAGCCACAGACCAAAGTGAGATTAGAATTTGCAGCTGCTTAGCTAAGTCTTTGGGCCACACATGCCTCCAGATCACGATTCTATCTGTTCCCATTTTCTCACTTCTCCAACAGCGTCTCAAATGGATATGAAGCCAAACCAGTAATTCTGGTTTTTGTGCACCAGTACTCCTCCTGTGAGAAGGTATAGGCTATGAGGGAACAGGGCTGGGGTGAGGGAGAGAAAAAGCCATCTTCCCTTTAATAAAACATCTGATACTCATAGTGCATCTTTTACCTGTCAATGACCAGGTTGCCATCATTGGTTCGAATTCCAGCCCACATATCCCACATCTCAGCTTCTGAGGGCTGTGTGTGTGGCCCAAAGACCACCGCAAGGCTAAAAGATTCCAAAAAATTGAGAGGGTGGGTAGACAGGTATTAGTAGAACTTCCCAGTATTAGTGTCAGAGTAGGTACTCTGGAAGCACATAACAAATGCACTATCTAGCTACCACTCTGGGTCACTCTCTGTGTTGGGGAGGCGCAGTTTGCAGGGGACCTTCCAGACGACCAGGAATGCTAGGTAGGACCACTCCAAAGCACCCCCCCCCACAAGTCCCTCATCTCCTCTAACCTCCTCAAAGGAGCAGATGAGTCAGGGGCCTTGGTAAGAGCTGCTGAGGTGAGGAAGGAGAAGGAACCAGGCCTGGTCCCGGTCCTAATATTGGGGCCAAAATGGAGGCTGGCAGCACTTTCTGACTCTATGCTTCTCAAAGAGCAGCCCCAGAGCTCAGCTCTGAGTGACTCACCCCCGGGCAAAGAAGAAGAAATTCATCAGGCGAGTAAGGATGGGAGACATCGGGCCTCCATCTTTGAGCAGCTGTAGGTTAAAAATAAAACAAAACAAAAAACAAAAACCGAGAGAAGAATGTGACATCAAACACCAGAAGAAGAAGGCTTTTCACCAGGACATGGGGAGCCTCTTTGCCTGGGACAACAGGTATTCAAGCTAAGCCTCTCTATATCTGGAAAATGGAATTTCTTTCCTTCCTCATTCGGAGAAAGAACAGCCTATTTCTAACTCCCTCAAAGGCAGGGATCCCTCACCTTTTTAGGAATCATGGCATTCTGATGAAGATCCCTTCACAGAACATGTTAGTAAATGCAGAAAATATACAGGATTATAAAGGAAACTAATTATATTAAAATAAAGATGTAATTTTTTTTCCCATCCAAGTTTACAACCTCACTGAAATCCATTCATGGACCCCAGTTCAAGAATCCCTGCTCTCAGACTTGGCCCCTGTACATTGAAATCCCAACTTGAGCTTGGTGAACTTGGATGAGAAGCCCACTGGGCTTTGTTACATAAGCCACAGAAAAAAGAAAAATATCTATCACTCTCACACAGTCAAAGGACATAAACCAGCCATTCTCAGGAGAAAGACAAATGAACAGCCTACCACGTGAAAAAATGTTTAAAAACTTGAGACATTAAAACCACTCTGTGGTGCCACCTGACACCCCTCAAATCAGCAAAAACAATAAAAGACCACAGTTCACATTAGCACCACTGGTAAAAAAAACAATACAAAACAAAAGAGGCACACTGATTCACTGCAGCAGTGGCAACCTGGTCCATCTTTTTTGGAAATCAATAAGAACTTATAAAGTAAGTTACAAAAATGTACATACTCTTTGACCAAGTGGTCCTACCTCTGAAACTATAGCCCATAGACATTACCGAAAAGAAAGAAAAAGAAAAATGTGAACAAAAATATTCACGGCAGCACTATTTGTAAGACCAAAAGAACCGGAGATGATCTAAGCACCCAACAATTGAAGAATGGCTGAACAAATCCTGACATGTGACTGCAATGGAATAAGGCTCCCTTACGAGGGATTTAGGCTCTGAAGATAGCCCCTAAGGTGCAAGTGGAGCATAGCAAAAACTACCCCTAAAATTCCCCACAAAGTACAGTGTGGGGTGTCACACCAGATGGGTGTCAAAGGAGATCAAGAGTCCTGGACTGGGGAGTCGGGAAGATCTGAGTTCAAAAATCTTCCTCAGACATTTAATAACTGTATGACCCTGGGTAAGTCACTTACCCATCTGCCTCAATTTCCTCCATCTATACAATGAAGATATTAGTAGCACTTATCTCCCAAGGCTGTTGGGAGCATCAAATGAGATCATATTCGTAAAAGTGCTTTGAAACCTTAAAATGCTATGTAAATGGTAGCTATTATTACTACGGTATAAGGTGTAGATGGAAAGAGGGGTGCTTTAAAGAAGGCAGTGTCAGGGAATAACTGGATCTGAGGTGGTAGTCACGGAAACAATGGAATACCAATTTCACTCTTCACTACCCCCACCCCCAGCCCTTAGCTAAGCTACTGATCAGGAAAGAGACTGGACCGGCACCTCTCACATGGGGGGTGAGGGAAGAACTGGTAAGGACTTGGTTGGCAGGAAAACTGATGATTAGGGAAAAAATATCCTCAAAGCAGCCTGACACCTAAGTGTGATGAGTAGGATGACCCCCTGCCCCCATATCACTGTTTCTTCTCACACGATGACATATCAGGAAGCTGGAGTCCCTAGAGCAGTTTGCAGGGACCTTCCAGACAACCAGGAATGCCAGGGAAGACAATTACGGCTCTCTCTTTTATCACTACACCAGCCGAAGCAGAAGGAGTAGGTCTGTGTTTATTCTGTGTCACTCCAAGGAAACCCCTGGTGATGAAGTGGGGGAACTCTAGAATCCCCCGGGCAGCTGGCTCACATCCTGAGAGGAGCCCAGGGCCTGAAACCGACTGCGAGGGACCAGAAGATTCATCTCTCTCTCTCATCTTGTGCTCACTTGGGGCACATACTGAGTGGAACGATGCATCTATGAGCAAAATGGCAGACCACGGTGCTATTTAAATGCTTTGTTTTCTCCTACAGTTGAATTTGTATAGGTTAAAGGTATGTACTGCAATGTTTCATCATAAGAAGCTATTATAAAGAACTCAAAGAAATATGAAAAGACTTATATGAAGTAATACAGAGAGAAGAAAGCAGATTCCAACAAATAAAATACACCCTGACTACAATCCTGTAGTTAAAACAGGAGTTCTTGACCTTTTTTGGGTCATGATTCCTTTGACAGTCTGGTGAAGCCTATGGATCCACTTTCAGAATCATGTTTTTTAAAGGCATAAAATAAAATACATAGGATTACAAATGAAACCAATTGTCCTCAAATGCAGTTACCAAAATATTAAAAGATACAAGTTTCCAGACCTCAAGTTAAGAATCCCTGACTTAAAAACTAACAGCAACAAATCCATGCTACAGAGACAGAAAAGGTCAAGAAGGGATTACAAGAACATGGGATGTGAACACTTCTTTTATGTCAATATTAACCCCTTTTAGCTAAAAATCGGGAATAAGTAACTAGAAGCTTAAAGATCCATGCACAATTATTTACAATCTCTTGCTTCATTTTGCATTTCATTTGCCTTTTAAATTTTCCAATGCTCTTGCTCATACATCTGAATACCAGTACCTGCCCATAGACATTAAAATGAAATGTTTATGTTAAAAGCAAAATCCATACAAATCTTATGTGGGGGCCATTCCCTGAACTCTTTTCCAGGAGAAAAAGAAGAAAGGAAATGTAATACAATGTTCCCTCTCAAGGGAAGGAGATAACCTCACTAACGTCTATCCATCATCAGAGAGGCAACAGGCCTTTACAAAGGACCCCACAAGACTCAACTCTGTACAGAGTCTCAGACTAAAGATTCACCCAGTGGACTGGCCAACCTTCTGGAGTAAGGTGGGATGGTGAGTCTCAGGAAAGATACCTGCAAGAGAGGCAGAAAACTTACCTTAGTCAGTCACTCACCAACAACTTCAGCCCAATCAAAAGCCCATGGTTCTTTCCACCTCACACCCACCTCTCCCGAGACTCCTCCCCTTAGGGCATTTCACTGAGAAACAAAATTAATAAAACAAAAAGCTAGTGACGCGTAAATGGAGCTCTTAAGTGTTTTTACAGCCAATTATGTCTCCCTCCTTAGAGATGAACATTTTTGCTTCCTCTGGCCTCTTTGGCAAGACACAGAGAACAAGGTCACTTTCCTCTGTTTCAGGTGAAGCTGCTCCCAGGGAGGAAAAGGAATGTGCTTGAGGCCCAACATGCCACGAAGGCCAGCACTGCACTCCAGAAATGCTAAGCTCTATTCTAGGGCTCTGACAACTGTGTCCTACGCAAGGATACACCCATCCGCCATTACGTACACGAGATTGTTAATTATTTCAGTGGCATAGCTGTGAGAGTGGTTGGCCTGGAGTCAGGAAAACCTGAGTTCAAATCCAGCATCAGACACTTACTAGCTGTGGGACCCTAGGCAAGTCATTTAATCTGTTTGCCTCAGTTTCCCCATGTGTAAAATGAGGACAATAACAGCACCCCGGAGTCTTCGCAAGGACAGAATGAGATATTTGTAAAGCACTCAGTACAGTGCTTTCCAGTACACATAGCGGGCACCATGGAAATGTTAACTATCAGCGGCATCATCCTTATTATTGGCTGCAAAATGTGAAGAGGGGGTGATTTTCCAGTATACACAGGACTTAGGAGGAAGCGGTGCTTTCTGTTTGCCCCTTTCTCTTAAAGATTACGAAGGAAACTGTTCTCTCCAGACACCAAAGGCTATCCCCATTCAAATTCCCTCCTCACAGTCCGTCTCTGCTGCCTGCTGTCTGTGTGACCTCAGCAGTGAAAAAACCGCTTAAGTCTACATTACTACCATGAACTACTTGTCAAAGACTAGGGAGCTTCAGGGAAAGACCCCAGGCTTGGAAATAAGAAAACAGGTTTGAATCTTGTGACTGTGGGCAAGTCACTTGAATGTTCTAGCCTCAGCTTTCTCATCTATGAAATCAAAGGGCTGGATCGGATGATCCATAAGGTCCTTTTAAGAGTCCATCCTCCACGATCTTCCCTCGAGATCTAAATCCGGTGACCAAGGTGCCACCTTCTGAACAAAGTCTTCCGTGATCTCCAGCCCACCTCCCCAAATGGTTACTCCAATTCCAACCACACTGTAACCTGTATTATAGTGGTCGACATCTCATCCACCCGCCACACTGTAAGACTGGGAGGACAAGAACCATGACACCCTTTTACATCTTTGTATTTCCAGGGTCTGGCATGATACTCTGCACATAGTAAGTGCTAAATGTTTGTTGAAATGCATTGAAAACTGTTCCCTAACTGATTTACTGCTTGCCTCCTTGGGGGTGAGGGGAGAGCAAGTGGGAGGGAAAGAATCTGGAAGTCAAAAAAATTTTTTAAATGTTAAAAATAAACAATCAATATTCAAATAAAAGGAAAAGTGTCCCCCACTAATTGCCCTAAATAAATAGCAAGTACTTCACCCCTAAAAGAGCAAAAATGAATTCCCAGGGAATGAAACTCATTCCCCCTCCAATCCCTAGGCAGAGAGCAAGGAAAGGTGACATAGTGATCATCGTGTAGTCCGGACACATCAAGTAGGAACATTATTGTGCTTTCTATCACTCCTTATCTCTGTCGTGCACATCATAGGCTGCTTAATAAATGGTTATTAAACTGAACTGAATTTGTGGCAGAGGGTATTCTGGGAACATTTAAATTTCAATCATGAAATTGAGTAATTTTGCCTAAGGAAGATCTAAGTGCTCATGCCTTCTGCATCCTGGGGTCTCCCGTGCCTGCGGCATTCTGAGACAGTCGGCCTTTTAGGCAACATACTGCGATACCTAGATGTGGCTGAGCTAGGCCACTCCCCAGTTTTCATCCTTGCCAGCTCCGGGCCGTTACCTCCATTTGACAGACAAAGGCTGTTGATGAGAACCCGACCAGTCCGATTATGCTTGTACCTAGGGACAGGGAGAGGGGAAACCGTTCAATTCCATTCCATTCAACAAACGCTTTGTAAATGCCTACTATGTGCAGAACCCTGCGCTAGGCACCCAGGGAGCCGCATACAAAAACAAATACGGCACTGATCCCAGCCTCGGGTGTTTACTGTAAGACGAGGACATGGCACATATGCCAATAACCACCACAGAAAGCAGAAATGATTAACTATAGAAGAGAGGAGATTACATGCTCCATGTGCTGGACTGTAAGCTCCATGGGGGCAGGGACTCTGTCTCATCTCTCTACCCACCACGTGCAGTGCATTGTATACAGTAGGCACTTCTTGTTCAGTCGTGTCTGACTCTTCGTGACCTCATTTGGGGTTTTCTTGGCAAAAATGAGATGTGCCATTTCCTTTTCCTGCTCGTTTTGCAGATGAGGAAACTGAGGCAAACAGAGTTAAGTGACTTGCTCAGGGTCACACAGCTAGTAAGCATCTGGGGCTGAATCTGAACTCCCAAAGAGGAGTCTTCCTGACTCCAGGCCTGACACTCTATGCACTGCACCCCCTAGCTGCCCTAGGCACTTAGTAAGTGGTTGTTGAATGAACGAGCAAGCTCAGAGCAGAAGACTCAGATCAGTACAGCAGCTGAGGTCAGATGCCCAACAGGGTGCAGGGCTAGACTTTTCTCTGAACAGACACAGACAGGAAAGGGTGAGGAGGTCTGGCACGTCACTGACCTGTAAAGCAGCTCCTGAGCCACGGTGTCTCCATAGTCATGAGACAGAAGGTTAACTCTCTGGTTCTGAAGCCCCAGGTGTCTCAGCAGCCCCTCCACAATGCTGGCCTGCTCAAAGATGGAATAATGATGGGGCCTCTACAAAGAGAAAAGCCTGAGGGTGAGTCCTCCTCTGGGCCCCAGAGCTGCTGAAGGCCCTCCGCAGATGCCACTTACCGGTTTGTCACTGAAGCCAAAACCTAGGAAATCAAGGGCAATCACCCGGTGAAACCGCTGGGTCAGGCCTTCCCAGATCTGCGAGAGAGACAAGGGTCTGAGACAGCAAAGGCTATCTCCCCATCGTACAGACCCAACACCCAACCACAACCTTCCTGTTACTCAGTCAGCTGAGCACAACCCCTTCCCAGGAGCGGCTTTATCCCTAACACTTCTCTCTGTAGGACAGAATCCACCATTTTCCCTTCCTTCAAAAAGACCTGCCTCGTTTCATGACAAGTCTTTTCCAGAGTTTGCTAAAGAGTTACCCCCCCCTTGCATTAATTTCACTATGCCCAAATCTCTTGTCCTATTTGCAGCAGCCTTTGGGACCATCACGATGACAGAACTATCAAGACCGCTTCTCTTCTAACCATTTCATAGATGGAAAAAACAACTTGCCCTGATTTTCACAAGGAGTTGATGACAAAACTGGGTTCAAAACTCAAGACCTCTGAGTCTCCTAGTCTTTTGTTGAACCACAGAGCTAAAGAAGTGAATGAGTAAGTGAACTGGTAATCCAGTCACACAAATTCACCGTCCCCCACTCCCCACTGAAGGTGGCTTCCGTTTCATGGGGTGATGGTTGAATGGCACGACCTACTTCTTAGCAGTGGATAGAGTGCCAAGCTGGGAGTCAGGAAGAGCTGAGTTCAAATCCAGCCTCAGACACTTAGTTCCTCTGGAACCTTGGGCAAGTCACCTAACCTCTGTTTGCTTTAGTTTCCTCATCTGGAAAATAGGGATCATAATAGCATCTACCTCTCCAAGGGTTGTCGTGAGGATCAAATAATTATTAAGTGCTTAGCACAGTGCCTGGCACATAGTAAGCACTATGTAAGTGTTAGCTATTTTATTGTTGTTATCATTATTTAGCAAAGGCTAAGATGACCACCTTACTTCTAGGCTTACTCAAGAACCAAAAAGTCAGCTTCCTTTTTCTCATGAGGGGCCCGAGAACAGGCTCAAGGCCAGATGGGTAAGATAAGGGAGTGAGAAATAAAACCATTCCCCTTTCCACGAGGCTTTTAGGCATACCAATCACTTTCCCAACAACAACGCTGTCAAGGGGGCAAGTACTATCATCCCCATTTTGCAGATTAAAATAAGCTCAAAGCACACAGAGGACTGTAAGGTTGGCAAAGCACCCTACCTCCACCACTTTACCTGATCCTCATGACGGTCCTGAGGCAGCAAGCACAGCTGTTGTCATTCCCATTGTACTGATGAGCAAACCGAGGCTCAGAGACGCTACAATACTTACCCAGGATCAAACAGCTGGTAAGTGGCAAAGCCAGGGTATGAACCCAGCAGTTTTTCCACCACCCTCATGGCTACCATCAGTTTCATCTGAATGGAAGCCCGTGGTAAGAACCGGCCAGCTTCTTCTGTCTCTCCAGACCCTGCCTCCCATCCCCCATGCTAAGTTCAAGCACCACCTTCCACCAGAGATCCTTCCAGATCCCCCAGCTGCAAGAGCCTCCCCACAAAAGGACTCCGTATTTACTTCATATTTGCTAATCAGTATATGTGTTTTCCCAAAAGAATGGAAGCTCTTTTGGAGGACTTTCATTCTTTACTTTGTATCGCCAGCCCACAGTGAACACACAGCATCTGGCACACAGTAGGTGCTCAATAAATTTGATTACTCAATACAGATTTCTGTATGAGATAGACTTATGATGAATGGTTGCTGATGAAAAGATCACAGAACTACACTTTGAAAAAAGAACCTTTTTCACCCATTGTCTACAAAAGTGTCCAAATGGACTCCTGGGTATCCTCGGATTTGGGTTGGTTTTTGTCATTTTGTTTTGACCATCTCTGCAGGCCCAGGAGCTGGCTTCCTTGATCCTGGGTCTCTCTCATCTCACCTTGCACCAGTCGTAGCTAGAGGTTGGAAAGCCGTGTAAAAGTACCACTATTTCTGAGCTCCCAACTGCACCCCATGAGTCTGAGGAGAAAGAGAGAGGGGAGGAGGGGTCAGGAGGAAATCCCACAAAGCAACCATGAACTCGGTGAAATCTCCCACATTTAGATCAGGGGAGGGACGCAGGGATTCTCTGAGAACCAAGGAAGAGTCCAAATGTCAGAATATTTGGAAACAAATGCAGGTTTCTGACTGGCAAGTTCAGGAAAGCATTCAATACCTGGCTTTCCTTTTCCTCCACCAATGAACAGATAAAAATAATTTGAAACTGGCCTGCCGTGTATGCAAATAGTGGCTAGAAACGTGTTACAAAACTGCTCTGACAAAGTCTGCTGGGCTTTCCTGAGATCCTGAGCCTCAGGAAGTCAGAGGGACCCAACCAACCGTAGACTCAAACACCAAAAGCTGAATTCATGATGATGATGATGATGATGATGGTAACTAACATCTACACATGGCAGCTAGGTGGCACAGTAGAGTGCTGGGCCTGAAGTAAGGAAGACCTGAGTTCAAATCCAGCCACATACACTTACATAGCTGTGTGACCCTGGGCAAGTCACTTAACCACATTTCCCTCCATTTTTTCATCTATAAAATGAGCTGGAGAAGGAAATGGCAAATCACTCCAGTACCTTCACCAAGAAAACCCCAAATGGGGTCACAAAGAGTCGGACACTATTGAAATGACTGAATGACATTTGTGAAGCTTTTTAAGGGTTGCAACCCTTTACACTTTACATGATGTTTCACTTGATCCTCACAACAACCCTGAAAGTTTGAGGCTATTATTATCTCCATTTTACAAGTTCAACTGAGGCAAACAGAAGTGACTTACCTAAGGTCATACCACTAATGCGTGTCAGAAGTCAAATTTGAATTTCCTGACTCCAAGCCCAGTACCAATATTCACCATACTAAGAAGCCAGGCTCTCTTCTGGGTGTGCTTCTTAACAAAGGAGCTTAGGACAGGGCCACGGAACCAGGAATGCATGCAAATTCAGTGCAACCCCAGGGGATTCCATCACTGGCATCTGCCCCCCACCAGGGTCTCAGAATCAAAGGAGATCCCAAGCTTTAAGGAGCCAAAAGAACTCCTAAAGATTTAAAGATGGGAAGCCAAGGCACAGTTCATACGTAGATATCTTCCTGATATGTCTCAGACTCTGCCATTTAGAGTACAAGAGCAGTCCAGCCCTGGGGACCCCATCAGCCAGTATTCACTGACCCCATCCAGGCACTGTGCTAAGCACTAGAGATATAAGAGAGGCAGAAAAGCATGGTCTCAGCTCTCAAGGAGGGCAGAGAACATACAAACAACTATAATACATCGAAGACATATACGGAGCAGCTGCATGGTAGTGTCCAAGGAGGGGACAAGCAGTAGGAAGAATCAGCAAAGTCCATATGTAGATGACAGTGGAGCCGAATCCTGAAGAAGCCAGGGGAGCTAGAAGCCGGAGGTGATGAGGGATAACATTCCAGGCACAGAGGAGAGCCAGTAAAAAGGCACATAGTCGGAAGGCGAGAGGAGGGTCGAGCGCAAGGAAGAGTGAAAAAGACAGTGTCACAATATCAGCCAGTATGTGAAGACGAGGAGGCGTGACAGGGCTGGGAAGGGAGGAGGGAGGAAGGAGGCAGGAGGCAGGAGGCAGGAGACAGGAGGCAGGTATGGAAACCTTTCAAAACCAAACGGAAGAGGTAATACGGAGCCATAAGAAGTTATTGATTTGAGATAAATCTGACGGCGGAGTGGTTGTTAATACTGAGATACCTGAGGTAAGGATGCTAATTAGAAAGCCATTGGGACAGTCCAGACGGGAGGTGAAAACAGCCTGATCCAGGCGTCAGCTGTCAGGGGGCAGAGGGGGTGTAGACGGGAGATGATAAGAGGGTAGAAACAAGACTCAGCAATGGACCAGAGATGCAGGGTGAGTGCAAGGGAGGAACCCAGCACAACACTGGGGTCGCAAGCCTGGGTGGCAGGCAAGATGCTGGCACCCTTGCCAAGGCTTGGGAAGTCCAGAAGAGGAGGGAGTGGAGAGAAAGATGATGAGCTCCGTCATGGACACGAGGAGCTGGGGATATCTACGGGACCAACAGTTTGAGACGTCCGATAGGTGGATAGGTGGTTCGTGGCTTGAGCCTGGAGCTCGGGAGACTTTACAGTCGGATAAACAGACCTGAGGATCACCTACATAGAGATCGTCATTGAGCCAACCCAGGGTGGATCAGGGCAGAGACAAGGGATGGAGCATGTGTGCATGTGTGTGTGTGCATGTATCCATGAGAGAAAAAAAAGAGGAGGGGGAGGAGAAAGAGATAGCAAGAAAATGGGAGAGGGGAAGAAGAGGAAAAGGAGAAGGAGAGAGAAGGAAAGGAAGAGAAAGAAAAAATAGGGAGGGAAGGGGCAGGGAGAAGGGGAAGAAGGAAGAAAAGAAGGAGGGGAGAGAGGGCATGGGGGAGAAGGGAGAAGGAAAGGAAGACAGAAGGGGGAGAAAAAACAGAGGGAGGGAAAGAGAGGGAGCAAGGAGAGAAGGGGGGAAGAAAGGGGAAGAGGATACAGGGGGAGGGAGGAGGGGAAGGGAGAGAAGAGGAAAAAACAGAGGGAGGGAGAGAGGGAAAAGGAGGGTAGGGAAGTATGTGGGGAAGAAAGGGGGATGGAAGGGGGGTAGAAGAGAAGGAAAGGAGGGAGGGAGACAAGGAGATTTCAGAGCCTTCTGTGTATGAGATGATGGTTAAGCCTATGGAAGTTCATGAGATTACAGAGAAGATGGAGAGGAGAGCCCAGACACAGGCTCAGATAACCACAGTTAGGAGGCAACAGACAAATGATGATCTAAATGAAATGGAGAAGAAGAAACAAGAAAGGTCAGCAGAGAGAAGAGAAAAATCAAAGGAGGAACCCACATTCAGGAAGGAGTGATGACAGTAAAGAGAGAAGTGTAGAAGGATGAGGTCCGGAAAAAAGGCCATCAGATGAAGCACTTAGGAGATCCCAGGCAACCTCAGAAAAGACAGCTCTGGTGGGTTGGTGAGGCCAGAAGGCAAGCCAGGGTCAAGAAGTGGAAAGGAACTGAGTTCTAGGCCCTTGAAACACTGAACTTGGGGCAAGGTCGAGAGAGACAGAGACAGAGAGAGAGACAGAGAGACACAGAGATAGAGAGACAGAGAGATAGAGACAGAGACAGAGAAAGAAACAGAGAGAGACAGAGACAGAGAGAAATGAGATATGGGTGGGGGTGGGAGGAACTGAAGGGAGAAAACACAATGAGGCTTGTGGTAGAGAAGAGCTAACAAGTGAGGACAAACAGCAGAGGAAAGGACTGAAGATGTGGATCGAGGATTTTTAACCTTGGGTCTGTGAACTTTTTATTTTATATTTTGACAACTATATTTCAATATAACTGGCTTCCTCTGCAATCCTAAATGTCTTATTTTGTGCATTTAAAAAAATGTTATTGTGAGAAGGGGTCTGTTGGCTTCAGCATTCTTCCCAAGGGGTCCACAATACAAAAAAGGTTAAGATCCCCTAATGTAGAGGGATTTGTAGGTTGGATTAGGGAAGATGAGAGAGTTCAGGACAGACTGCTTCCATTTTCTCAGTTTTACTATAAAGTAAAACTTTTTACTATATAGTAGAAACTTTTTTTAAAATCTTTATTTCATATTTCTTTTCTTTTCTTTTTATATTTATGCATATGTATTTATTTTTTAAACTCTTTCTCAGTCCTGACCTGCTTACCCTCAAAGATCATTACGTAACATAACCTCGGATGAACTGTAGAAGAAACTGGCTGAACACAGTCGGCTAGCTAACAGCCCTAGCACAAGAAAAACCTGTCCTGGGGTCACTGCAGACTTCTAAGAGACATTTGTCAGTAGGTGCCAGGTGAAAAACGGGAAAAAAAATCCGTTTATCACCATCCACAAGGCACACACAGTAATGAGCATTCTGGGCCATGGGACAAGGATCTCACTGGGGACTTCACATTCAAAGAAACTGCTCAAAGAAAACAGTGAGTTACTAAGGCTTTTGTATTTTTACAATGAAAGACAAGAGGGGAAGAAGGGAGGGAGGGAAAGGGGAGCATGAGTTAGATGACAAATATGGAGAAACAGAGAAGGCGATAAGTGAGGAATGAGAAAGGAACCAGATAGAATGATGGGAAGGGATCAAGAGAGAAAAATGAGGGGAAAGAGAAATGGGGCGGGGGGGGCCGGAGGTGAAAGCTACGTACTTCTCCACTGCCCGTTCTGAAAAGAGTGCTCAGCTGGAATCAGGAAAAGCCCGCTCTAAAAAGAGTGCTCGTCTGGGGTCAGGAAGACCCGAGTTCAAATTTGTACTATCAGATACTCACCAGCCACATGTGACCTTGGGCAACTGATTTAACCTCAGCCTGCCTCAGTTTCTTCATCTGTGAAATGGAGAAAATAGTAGCCCCCACCTCCCTGTTGTGAGGACAAAATGAAATATTTGTAAAGTGATTTGCAAACCTCAAGTGTTACATAAATGCTAATGTGTCTGTATGTGTGCATGTATATGTATATACATATGTGTATATGTATACACACATGCATATCTATGTGTATATATAACAGCTAACATTTTAATACATACATTATATGTACATACATCTCTCTTTCTCCCTCTCCCCTCCCTCACCTTGAGGGTAGTATTGCTTCCTGTCCACTGCCCTCAGCCTTCATCCTGGGAAGCAAGCCACAGGCACTGAAGACCCAGAAAATGAAATTCTTGCCCCCAAATTCCTAGATACCATCAACTAGTTTAACATCAGAAACTGATGCTATTTTATCGATGGAAATGACAATAAAAAAGAGGCATTAACATCTGCTTTACTGCTGGACCCTAAGGACTGCAAAGGGATTTATGATTTTCATATTAATCAACATGATATATATAATGAATATACTAATAATTTATATTTTTCAGAACTACCATTTCGCCAGCAGATTCTGGCTTGGGAGTCAGAGACTCACAAGGCAGCTTAAAGTTATCAATCAACTCTGACAGTTCCCACATTCTTCTGCTTGTGGTACCTTAAGTGAAGCGAATCAAAGACTGTAAAACCTGTTTCCATCACAGAACTCTGATTCTGAGCCCCACCAAATAATCATGACCCCCCCCAAGATTTGAGAACTGTTCCCACAGGACTCCAGAACACCTCTCTTGTTCTACCCTCGTGGGCTTGCCGTGAGAAACCGCTCAAGCCCTAGAAATGATTGTGTTGTAATCCACCTGCCCACTCGTGATTTACGTATACAATCTCTGCCTTTCCTGCAGCAAGAGGAGCTCTCCTCAGGAGAATGTCAGGTTTGCAAACTGAATTCCTCACTCTGAAATCAATTAAACTGCTACTTGATCCCTGACACACTCTGGACTGCTCAATTTCATCTCCAGTCAATCCCAGGTGAGAGGCCAGTCCAGTCTGGAATGCATTTAAAATTCTGTTAGCAGGACCATGGGATGTTTCCATCTGACTTACAGCTGAAAAATTCCACACATGTCATCTCCTCCATTAGAACATGAGCTTCCTGAAGGCAAGGACTGGCTTATTTTTGTATTTCTGTGTGTATCCCCAGTGTTCAGTACAGTGTTTTACACATAGGAATCACTTAATGTTTTCTTCATTCATTCAAATACATACATATATGTATATTATAGGGCAGCTCGGTGGCACAGTGGATAGATGCCAGGCCTGGAGTCAGAAAGACAACTTCCAAGGTTCAAATCTGGTCTCAGACATTTACTAGCTGTGTGACCCTGGACAAGTCACTTAACTCTATTTGCTTCAGTTTCCTCATCTGTAAAATAAGCTGGAGAAGGAAATGGCAAACCACTTTCTCTGTCAAGAAATCCCCAAATGGGGTCACAAAAAGACACAACTGAAAAAATGACTGAAAATATACATACATACATATATATATATATATACACACACATATATATACACACACACAGATTTTCATATATACATGTGTATGTGTACATAAATATATATGTGTACACACACACACACAAGACTAGTACTAATCTGTGCTACAAACTTTCTCTGTAATCCACCTGGGGATCAACAGCTGACACAAATACAGGGTTTTAAAGGGCTTTCACACACCTTACCTAATGAGGTTGCACGGCAACCCTGTGAGATAGGTACCACAGGCATTATTATCCCCATTTTCTTGATGAGGAGACAGAGGTAGACAAGTTAAGTGATTGGCTCATGGTCTCCCAGCTGGTGTCAGGTCTTCCTGACTCTACTTCCAGAATTAAATTCACAATCCCATGATGCCTGCCTAAAAAAGTTTTTAGCAATACGGCCTTTGGTTTAAAAGTCCTCTTTCTGCCTGGCCTTGGGATATTTCATGGACATCATGGAATAAGGATTCATTCATTCCTCTGACATTCAACAAATTTTCCATTATTTATTCAAGCATTGGTTAGAGCAACAGGCATGGTGGACAATGAAATGATCCCTACTCTCAAGGAATGACATTCTCTCGAGCTGCTCTGACCCCAAGGCACAGGGCTGGGTGCCATGGAGGACCTCTGGAGGATCCCTAGGTACCTCCCCTATCCCCAAGAAACTCACAAGGGCCTAGAAAAGAGGAGAACCAAAGAAAACCAGAAGTTTTCTTTGTTACCACACTGACATCCACAGATCTAAAGAGGTCACTGCCCTGCTCAAGAAATCCAGGGGTTTCCCAAGTGCCTCCAGGATTAAAATTCTCCATTTGCTATTTAAAGCTCTTTCTATCTGGCTCTAACTTACCTCCCCAGGCTCAAACAAGCGTTCTCTTCACACACTAGGTGCCAGTGAAGCTGACCTTACCTTCACTCTTTTATTTCTGATCCCTATGACTTTGCACTGGCTGCTTCCTTGAGCCTGAAAGCCACTCTCTCCTCACCTCCATCCTAGAACCCCTAACTTCCTCGAAGGCTCAGATCATATCACCACATAGAAATACACGCACACATACATGGGGGAGGGAGAGAGAGAGGGGACAGGGAGAAGAAGAGGGGGAAGGGAAAGACAGAGGGGGAGGGAAAGGGGGAAAGAAACAGAGGTAGAGCAACTATTATTTCATTTTATCCCCAAAACAGCCCTGGGAGATACTGTACCCATTTTATAGGTGAGGAAACTGAGGCAGGCAGAGGTGAGGTAACTTGCTGAAAATCACACAGCTACTAAGTGTCTGAAGTCAAAGGTTTTCCTGACTCCAGGTCTCATGTTCTATCCCCACGGCACTAGCTAGAAAGCTAGACAAACAGACTATAAATGTATATTATTTACTTATCTGTACACATATTAATGCCTTCCAATAGGATGTAAGCCACTTGAGGACAGGAGCTATTTTATTTGCCACCTTTACCTCCCCAGGGCCTGGTGCTTAATGAATGCTTGTTGGATGAATAAATGAATGCAGGTGGTGACCTCTAAGCTCGTCTTGAAGAACAATATTGTGCGCCCCGCCACAGTGAGGGGCAGAGGGAGACAACATCATAACCACGTAACTAAAGTCTAGGACTTTAAGTCTATAAAGGCATGATGGTCATGACTATGGAGAATGTGAACTGTGGCAGATACCACGAGACTCCCTTTAATAAGCCTAAAATGAAAAGCTTTTAAAAATTAAAGTGCAATGCTCCTTCACACAGTAAACTTAAGGAATTTATTATCCCTGAAGGAAATATGGCCTGCAAATATGAACAGACTCCAAAAGGGTTTGGATCAATTAACGGATGACAGATCTGGAACAGATTATGAAGGAAAGCCAAGAATGTTCTGAGACATAGTCACAGGACTCAGAGCTAGAGGGAACCTTGGAGGTCATCTGCTGCAACCCCTTTAATTTGCAGTTAAGAAACCCAAGGCCCAGAGAGGGGGAGAAACCTGCCCAAGGTGGCACAGCTAGAAGCAGCAGAGCTGAGACTCAAACTCAGGCCCTCCCATTCCAATGCCATGCTCCTTGTGACACCATGGGGTAAGAACGTTCCTTAAGAGTCGGGAAGTCCAGGGTAAATACCTGCCAGGTGACTCTGGGCAAGCTGAAAATAAAACTGATACATTTTCAATTTTTTCAATTTATTAATTCATTGAAAAATAATAATAAAACCTATTATGTGTTCACTCAGTGACCTGGGCAATTCTAAGACTATAAGCAGATGCTGCGTTGGCAGAGAGAATTTCATTATATAAGCTCCTTATGCCAATTAAATATAAATCTAGTTAAAAAAACAAACCTGAAAATTCTGTTAAATAAATGCGTGTTAAACACCCATTATTGCCTCTCACTGAGAGTTCCCTCCCTACATTAATGAAAACACAGGTCTCAACAAAACCAAAGAAAGTTTTAAACTCCATTAAAAATGTAAAAAACATTCACCCTTTGAGGATGTGGACATCAGAAGTAGAGAGGGCAGCTGCACACAGCTAGCACATTCTACCACAATGAATGTCTTGGTGGCGCCTCTGCTGGGAGCCCTGGAGCTGAATCCATCTGTCATGAGCATCTCATCTGACCAGCTCACGTCCTAAGCCTCACCTTGGTAGAAGATGCTCAGGCCCTTGTATGTGAAGAAGCTGCCTGAAGTCTTCCAGGAGTGAAGTTCTGGGGAGAGCTGGGGGGGAGGGATGTGCAGGTAGACAGCAAGAAGAGGAATGCCCAGGAGGCCCACCTGGATCCACCACTCCTTCATCCTGGGGGGAACCAGAGACCCAGAGTGAGCCCCGCACAGCAGCAATCACACACAGCACACCCTCAGGTCTCCCAAGGAGGCTGGCCACAGACGTTTCTCAAGGCTGCGGCAAGTAACGAACCACATTTACACATGCTTTTCTTTGCATCCGCTATGCTGAGGCAAGCTGGAGATCTGCCTCACTGTGCATCATTTCCTCTGTTTGCGGCTGCCTCTGAAGGCAAAAAACAAAACACAAAAACCCAGCCGGCAGCCTCAGGACCACAGATATAGAGCTGGCCACCTAGTTCACTGCCCTCATTTTGCAGATTGAAGAAACTGAGGCAAAAGAAGGTTAAATGACTTGTCTAAGGTCACACAGGTAGGAAATTCAAACTCAGGTCATTTGACCCTAGAGCTTCTTTCTCCAGTGTCACGCTACCAAGTGAGGTCCTATTTGCTGAAATTAAAAGGACTATCAGGAGACATACTCTGAACATCCTCTAAAGCACTTCACCAAGTCTTCCAAGGAGCAAAAAGTATCCTTTCTCCTTCAGTTTACTCTATCAGCTCATAAATCTCTCCCCTCCCTTCCCTCATACCCCATAAATGGGTAATATATCTGTTAAAAAGGAAAAGATATCAAAGAGAGAAAAATCTTAAAATGAGAGCTGTATCTCCAATATACATTGAGATATCCAGGCCTCATGTCAGCTGATCTCCAATCTTCTAGTCTCAAGACTCCTTTACACTCTTAAAAACTCTTGAGGACTGGGGCAGGTAGGGGACACAGTGGACAGAGCACCGGCCCTGGAGTCAGGAGGACCTGAGTTCAAATATGGCCTCAGATACTTGACACTGACCAGCTTGTGTGACCCTGGGCAAGTCACTTAACCCCTATTGCCTCACCAACATATAAATAAATAAATAAATAAATAAATTTTTAAGAACCCCAAAGAGTTTTTATGTGGACATAACTATCAATATTTATCATATTCAAAATTAAAACTGATACATTTTAAAATATTTAATCCATTTTAAAACCATAACAAACCCATTTTAACCCAAGTTAACCTAAATAATGTATTTTTATGAAAAACGACTATATTTTCTCAAATTAAAAAAATTACTGAGAAGAGTGGCATTGTTTTTACATATTTTTGCAAATCTTTTGAAAGTCTGGCTTAATAGAACACAACTGGCCTCTCATATCTGCTTCTGCCTTTAATCTGTTGCAATGTGTGGTTTCAGGCGAAGTATATGAAGAAAATCTGGCCTCCTACAGATACGTAGTTGGCAGAGAAGTATTTTAATAGACAAATAATATTGTGATACTCCTATGAAAATAGTTATGATCTCTCAGACTCCCTGGGAGGGTTCTAAGCCCCCCAGTGTGTGTGATGACTACACTTTGAAAACCACTACCCTATCACATTCCAATCCATCAACATGCATTTATTAAGCATCTGCTATGTGCCAGGCACTATGCTAGGTGCTTGAGATATGAAGATAAAAATCAATCTAGTCCTGACCTCAAGGAACTTATAGTTTAACCAGGAGAGAGGGAAAGAGGGAGGGAGGGAGTGAAGGAGGGAAGGAGGGAAGGAGGGAAGGAAGGAAGGAAGGAAGGAGGGAAGGAGGGAAGGAAGGAGAGAAGGAGGGAAGAAGGGAGGGAAGGAAAGAAGGAAGGAAGGAAGGAAGGAAGGAAATTAAGGGGGAGAAATGCTATCACTTGGGGTTGGGAAAGGTCTCATGTAGAAGGTGGTGTCTGGGCTGAGTCCTGAAAGAAACCAGGAATTCTGAGACAGAAGTGAAGAGTTTGTGTTCTCCACCTAATTATTCATGCTGTGATTTGAGAAAACAGAGTGAAAACAAGCTACTCCATTACAGAGTTGGCTGTTATTTATGCTAAAGTAAGCAGTTTTGGAATGACCCAGAGTGAGTAACTAATCTCTTGGGAGGTCTGGGCTGTGGATTACACTGTGGCCGTCTTTTCTTGGCTGACTCTTAAGGAGCTTCCCATTCAAGGAGTTTCTTAGGATTTCCCAAAGATAGAGCTGATACTCTGAACAATCCCTAATCTCACCCGGAGGGGGTAGAGGAAGGTGGTAAATTGACCCAACCAGAAACCAGCAAAAAGCTGGTTTCTCTGACAGCTAGGTGGCGTAATGGACAGAGCAACGGGCCTAGAGTCAAGAAGACTTGAGTTCAAATATGGCCTCCAACACTTACTAGCTGTGTGACCCTGGGCAAATCACTTAACCCTGTTGGCCTCAGTTTCCTTATCTGTGAAATGAGCTGGAGAAGGAAATGGCAAACTACTCTAGCATCTTTGCCAAGAAACCCCAAATGGGGTCATGAAGACCCCATGAAGACAAGACTGAAATGACTGAGAATGGCTTGGGGGGGGTGGGAGTGGTGGTACACACAATACAGAAACAAAAATGAAACCAACCCTGCTCCTTAGTCAAAAGCTTCAGAGGATGTCTCTGGTGTAATCATTTCCTGTCTCTCAGTCTTAGTTTCCCCAAGCTCTAAAGTGGACAAAATTTACCTCAATACAAAAAAGAAGTCAAAATATACATGGACCACAAGAAAATCATGGGGAGGGGAGGGGAATGCTGTCATTCCAATCATAATTAGCCAACAGGTGACAACACCCATCATTGTGCTTAGTCTTGTATATTTGTGACTTCCCTGTCAAATAAAGTCAAGAAAGGCCCAAAGTTTAAAATGTTGGTTCTCCTAAGACACCCTCACATTGCACCATTCTTTAGTATTATAACACCCTAACTACTCACTGGTTTCTGCAGCAATCCCCAAAAAGGGAGAAACCCAAGGAGATATAGCAGAGTCAGAGAAGAAAAAGGTGACCTATGTTCTGCCCCCATCACTGTCCTGACCTTTGTGGTGGGCAGATATCTACCAGCCTCCCAGTCACTCTTCCTGGCCCAGAGCTCTCCTCTCCATTCTAGTCTCTGCCAAGTCAGCCCTTGATAGCTTCAATATTTGCATTCATGTGTCCTCAACACCCAGGCCCTCCAATTCATCAGCTCCTTCAACTCCCATAACCTACAGCTCCATTCTAGCGCAGCTCCCCTTGGAGTGCTCACTCTTAAGACTTCACCATCACCCTAAATTCTTCCTCCTTCATGATCTTAAACTCTGAAACTCCTTCTCTACGGTCATAACTTCCTATATTTCTACCTCTCCCTACAGCTTCTCTCTCTTAGACCTAGTCTTCATTCTCATGCCTTCACTACAACCTCCAGTTCCTCCATTTCTCCCTGTTCTCCCAGGCCACCCCTACTCTGAGAGCCTTCTCCCTTTTCACAGTCTTGTCCCCTACAGTTCAATTATACACTGTCTTCCTCCCATGAACTCTCTTACCCCTCTCTGCCCCCTTGTCATTGTTTCATTCATACCCTTGCTAATCCTCAACCCTAAGGTACTTCCAGAATCCACCCCCAAGGTGCTAAACATGACTGGTATAACTTTATAACACGAGTGTGCCTTCCTCTAAAAAGTCATGTTATCTAATCTCAACTGTACTCCCTAACCTCCCATGGCAATCCTTTTATTCATCCCTAGTCAACTCTCTGGGACTTTCCTCATATTGACTATTCCAAATCTTTGCCCCTCTCCTCTGGCCCCCAAATTCACAAGGAGAAGCTAGTCTATCCACTACAAAGTCTCTCTTTTCCCCTATATTTTACCAGTCTTCAAATTGCTCCAGTCTCTGAGAAAGAGATGATCCTCTTAATCGCTTACGTTAAGGCTTCTAATGCATGCCTTCGATTCTATCTCTTCCTACGGTGTGCCTGGTGGATCACTCCACCCCACTCCCCCATCTTCAATCTCCTCCCATTGGATGGCCCTTCCCAGCGATTTACCCACCTACTCAGGTCTCTTCTATGCTTTAAAAAGCCTTCCCTTGACCGCCATCTGTATCTCTTCTGCCTGGCATTCACTGCCTCCAAATCATCACCACAGACTCACTTTCTAAGACTACTTTTCTGGTCATGGGTTATTTCCCCAAGTATCAGAAGGTATTTCTACCTTCTCTTTACTCTCTCCCTTAGCTTCCATAGGTTCAATTAATATTTCCTCAAGTTGGTTCCACTTATTATTGGAAAATCACCTCATTAACAAAGGAGGGGATAATTTTGGTACTACCTGTCTCACTACTGGGGAGACAGAGGTCCTGCATTTGTATCCTTGATGCCAAGAGACATCTCTACCTGGATATGCCATGGCTACCTCAAATGCAATGTGTCTAAAATGGAACTCATCGTTGCCCCAGACCGAGTCGTCCTCCAAACTTCCCTATTTTCTACCTGAGGGTGCTACCATGCTCCCGAGTCACCAGACACCTTAGAACTCCCACTCTTCCCCTCTCCTCATATTCAGTCAGTCACCAAGTCGCATTCTCCCCATTCACATGGCAACCGCCAGGGTTTAAACCCTCATCGCCTCTAGCCTAGAATACTGTTTTGAGGTTGTTGGTTTGGTTTTTGGTGTTTGTTTTTGCCACATCTGTGATCACATCAGTATAGGGAGTGCCTATCCTCTACCAAAGTGGATAGACAATTTCTCAGCAACTTGAGGATAGCCAGGAGCTGAGAGCCTGGTCCATCTGCCCAGGGTCACACAGCCTCACTTCTCCACTAATCCTCTCCAATTATCAAAACAGCCTCTTAATTAGTCTCCTGAATTCCTGGACCTCACCTCTCCAAAACACCCTCCGAAATAACCTTCTTAAAGTATAGGTGTGACCATGGCATCCCTCTCCCCTTTGAAAACTCTCAATGCCTCCCTATTTTCTCAAGGATAAAATTCTAACTTGACCCTGTCCTTTCAGCTTTATTTCACATTACATGAATTCTAGGTTCCAGACAAACTAGTCATTCCTACAATCAGGGGTGTGCTGGGGCCAGCTTAAACCCTGGCCAATTTTTCAATGTGAGTATATACGACTAAGAAGTGCTACAGATCAGTGCTGGATTTATTGTTTTGTTGATTGTCTAGACTTAAGTGAAGGAGGAAATGTTAACGATGCAGTAAAATTTTTTTTTAATTTTTCAGAGAGCCAGTTGTTAGAATTTACCAGCCTACCTACTCAACATTCCGTGTTCTGCATCACTGTATTCAACCAGGCACCAACCTCCCCCCATGCCTGGAGTACACTCCCTCTTCTCAGCTCCACCTCTCAGAATTTTTATCTTCAAGATTCAGCTCAAAAACCACCTCTTCCAAGCAGTTTTCTCTGATTTCCTCTGCTGTTTTATCCCACCTAAAACTACCTTGTATTTGCTTATCTGTGGACATGTTCTACCTCTCAATAAGAGGAAGGCAAAGACTGCTTCCTTTTCTATCCTGTATCCTCCCAATGCCCTGCACCTAGTAGGGACTTACTAAGTAGGGACTTATTATTATTGATTTGCTGAATCAAACCAAATTGAATTAGGTTGTGTGATTTCAGTGTTCCTGCTCCCTCCCCTCCCCTCCCCTCTCCAGGGCAGATTAATTCTCTCCATCCCATACCCCATGTCTTATTAGTTGGTCTTCATGAGCTGCTGTGGTAACAAAAAAAAAAAACAACAACAACAACAATAATGACAATTTGGTAAGCAGCCCTTTCTAGTGAGACAAGCCTCTCTCGACTTGGCTAGATTGATCCTCAAATGAAAAATATACAGTCCACGCCTTGGCCCTGAATAGCTGGAATTACTGTAATCCTGAATAGTATTACCAAATACCATCTGTAATATCATTTCACACACCCTTTAGCATTATCACAAACATTCCATATCTCACACACCCTTTTGCCCTTGCCAAGGAGTAGTTTATACCGAGAGTATAAATATATTATCCAGTTAAGAAGAAAGAAGCTATCCCAAACCTAGGGACAACGAAGGAAGAGAGGGAGGAAGAAAGGAAGGAAATTAAGAGGA